ACCAAGTGTGTTTGCTTTTTGGAACCGTGTCTTCATTCCACCTACTTCACATACAAGGGTCAGTTCTACAGGCAGAAACATGGGTGTGCCATGGGCTCCCCAGTTTCACCCATCGTGGCCAATTTGTACATGGAAGAAGTGGAAAAGAGGGCTTTGCTATCCTACCCTGGAACACCACCAAGTCATTGGTTCAGGTATGTGGATGACACCTGGGTGAAAATCAAATCTCAGGACGTACCACAATTCATGGATCACATTAACTCGGTGGACCAACACATCAAATTCATCAGGGATGATATGAAAAGTTGCAGGTTAGCCCTCTTAGACTGTGAGATTTCCATCAGTAATGGGGGACATGTAAAAGCAGATGTGTACCGTAAACCTACGCATACGGATCAGTATTTAAGGTTTGACTCTCATCGTCCACTGGAGCATAAACTGGGTGTCATCAGGACACTAAGACATAGAGTGAACACCATCCACACTGACACAGTGGCCAGGAAAGCAGAAGAACATCACATCAAGGAGGCCCTGAGTAAATGTGGTTAAGGCACCAAAAGAAAGCTCCAGCTGATCCAGGAGAGAAAGACAACCGCTAAGTGATCCCTTATGTGTCAGGAGTATCGGAACAGCTGAGAAGCACTTTTTTCTAAACACCAGATCTCTGTGGCTTTTAAACCCCAAAGCACGCTGCACCAAAACTTGGTCAACCCCAAGAATTAGAACCCCGACACAAACAGAGCTACTTGAGGCCGCATTTGTAGGCCGATTACGTCACAGCGACGCGATGAAGGCTGTCCAAATTTGTAGACTTCTCCAAATGCAGCCGACAAATGTGTCCTCCTTTACCCCAAATTTGAAGGATGGTTCGGGTGTATCCTTCGTGGCCCACCATATCCCAGAATTCATAGCGTCGCCTAGCCAATTCCAGTTTTAAACAATGGTGGCGGCTACTAAGTTTTTAATATTACTCTTATTACTCTTTCTGGATCGCAAAATAAGCTTTTAACATATTTTCAGGCGAGAATGTAGCTGTGTAAACTTCAAATATCTTCTCGGTTTATCAAGATATCGCATATTTGCAAAAGTGCTCTGACGTTTTCAGAGACATCTGTTACCCACCAGCTCAATAGCTAGCCGGGAGCTTGAGGGTGACTAGAGCCGCCGAGAACGGCACAACTCCCGGCACATCATTTTCAGATCACCGCGGTCTTTTGCTACTCAGGTTAAACATAATATATAAGTCACTTAGACAACCTAAAAATGTTATTGTTTGGCTTTTTTCAGTGTTTTATTTGTTCGTGAGTAAATTGGTTTGGCTGAGATTGACGTAGACTGCGAAGGCCGGGTCCTCAGGAGGATGCAGCCCATGAATTTGGACACGACCGTAGTGTACGCTGTTAAGTGCCAGGAGGATTGCCAGGATTTATACATTGGGGAAACCAAACAACCTCTGGCGAAGCGGATGGCACAACAAAGAAGAGCTACCTCGTCAGGCCAGGACTCCGCAGTCTATTTACACACAATTATGAGGATGTACACATCTTTCGCCATTTTACAATGCTGTGATTGCAGCCATTCCTCAACTCTCTGTGAATGGTACTCATGGCCATTGATCAGTGGTCATGAGAATTTGCATAATTATGATGAAGGTGACCTCCCAGCCCATTGTTCCTTCAGTGGTGCTAGTTTCAGTCATTATGCAAATGTACTGTTTATGAGATTGGGGAAACCTGCAGTTGTTGTTGTTGTTATTGTTGTTGTTGTTATTGGTGGTGCTCTTGTTTAATAACTACCAGCTTATAAAAAGAGCACAACAGCAGACTTGCAGATTAAGGATTTCCATTCTCCTGTTATTAGAGACATCAAGGCCTCATCCGAGTGATCATTCTCCAACATGCAATTAAAAACCTGGTTACATCTACCATGACACATAAGAGACACACAGAGCTACTGTTAATGAATATATTTTCAGACACTGAACTCTTTGGATATCAGTGGTAATGTGATAATGAGCTGCCACCAATCGGTTTAACATTGTCCGTAATTTACAATTACATAGATACATTTGGTGCAAAAAGGATTTTGATGAAGTTTTATGCTTTGCTAACTGGACCCAGTAAAATAATTTAAATATTTGGCTATGTTAGTGAGCTGTGCTCATAGGATTCCTCTCCCCCCCCCCCCTCTCTCTTTCTCTCTTTATGTCACACGCACACAAACACACATTCGGACATTTGGCTAAGCTACCAGTTTTAATGATAGATTTCTTAAATGTTTAACTTGTATTTGCATACTTTCTGAGTGGCAGCAGGACACTGAAAGAGAGCCTTCTACTGCTAACCCTTCCTTAAATGTAAGTTATGGTTTTGTGTTGGTATTTTCATGTTAAAACTATGAAACAATGAAAGGTTATATTTATAAGTAAACCAGAAGGTGAACCATGACGTCACATTTGTTTCAGTGAATATTAACTTTGTTCAATTGTTATTTTCATCAAGCTTTTATTACAACTTTAACCATGTTAATTGTTATCAATAATTGTAATAAGCAAAAAGCCTGATCATTGCTGTGAGGGTTTGTGTAACTGTGCTCCTCTTACAGAAGGTAAATGTAAAGATGCTGATTTTCTGTACTGACTGCTGATCTTCATCCAATGAAAAACACCTGTAGACTGGAAAAAACTAGTTTTCTTAAAATCACTTTAGTCGGGATGTTAATTATTCTTATATGAAAAGGAACACAAACCAGGAGCCTGCATGTTACTACTGACCTGCTCTAACCTCGAGTATCTGACTCAGTCAGGTTGTCATCCTGTTATTTCTGACTGCCCACACAGACACAGCAAGCTCTTCCCTCAAAACACTTTTTTAAAAAGTTTGGGGTTTTTTTGGGGGTTTTTTTTTTGGGGGGGGGGGAGGGGGTGATAATGTGATGAGATTTACAACTGACAATATTAAATCTAAAAAGTATCTGTGAAGCTGCCAGAAACAAAGAAGTCAAATAAGCAACTTGTGCATCCAGTAAATTCCAAGGCTGTATAATTCATTACCACTAGAGGGAGACATTGTGTAAAAAACAAACAAACAAACAAAAAACAACCCTGTGATCGTTGTTGTTCTATTACTTTGTTGTTCAGATTTTAAAATCAAATAATAAAACCTCTACCTCTGTTTAGTTTAACTGTAATCTGGTATATTATATAAAACTTTATTTCTTTATTAAAAGATATGCATACATTCTTAAGATTTACATTTTCAGTGCTGTCCACCCCACACACCCTTTTTTTCCAATTATCTAAGTTTTATCTAATGAGTTTTAAAATACTGAAGTGTTCTAGTATGCAGTGTGTGTAAAGAATCATTACTCATAATGTTGTTGTAACTTCAACCAGTTTGGTAAGGAAAGCTTAAGTGGTTTAGAACGCTGGATTATTATTATCATTGTTATAAGCCATGATGTATTATTATTCGGCCACCTAAACATGTTTCTGTGATTGATTGTTTCCATGTTAATCTATAATATGTCTTAGTCAAAACGTCTTTTAGTATAAATGATAAACATTTCCTTCTCTTCCTCTCAGTCTATCACACATGAATTCTCTTTTTCGTCAGGGCTAAAAGGGGAAGAAAAACTGATACCACTTCCTTTCATCCTCTCAGTGCATGAAAAGGTAACTTCAATACGACCTCACGTAAAGATTTTCACACATTCTCCTCTGAGGCTGATCACTAACAGGACACACTGCAGTCTGTTCAGAGCGGCACACACATATTTGTTTTTGAGGAAAAGGGTTTGAAAGCTGCTGACGATCAACAGAAGCTCAGCAGCTGACATGGAAGCTGTAGTTGGACTGCTACTGATGTGGCTCGGATACTCTCATGGTGAGCTTTTCATGTTGTAATTCATCATACTTCGTTTCTGTGCATAAATAGCATGTTTTGCAATTACAGGATCCAAGACTGTCAATGACAGACATTTTAAAAAAGAAATTATTAAATAAATTCATTTCTTGACATGTCGAACATAATAACAGTGCTATTTTCTGAAGTCTTTAACTTTACAATAATGCTACATTCTAATATCATTTCAACATTTTAACAGGAATGTGCACTCTAAAAAAAGTTTAGGGTTATTTTACTACAGTAAAATGTATTATACAGACAGTATGCTAACAAAAACTAAAAAATGAAAACATTCTAGCTTTAACATCAATCATTTTCATAAACAACACAATATCATAATTATAGGGTGAGTTAAATATATTTTTAAAACGCTAAAATTGAAAAATTCACTAAAGGATTTGTTTTTAGAAAAACACTGGGCGACTTGCAAAATTCAAAACTCAGACATACAGTTAATTATCTGTACTTCTACTGATATAACTGATTTAAGATGATTTGTTAAATGTTCTTCTAAAACATTTAAACTTAATTGTCAGATGGAGCTGTTAGCTGAATCATTACTGTTTTTTAGTTTTTGCTTTTGTTTACTTTTATTTGCAGGTGTGGAAACTTACTGTGATGGCAGACAGGATGGAGCTCAGTGTTATGGAGCTTTGGGAGGAACTGTGGACATCCAGCTGATGGACAGCACCTCAGAAATACCTAGATACCAACTGTTAAGAATTCATTAAAAATACTAGATGTGAGAAATAATAGGTTTTTCTAATACCATAGACATAGATCTACTTTTTCCCAGTAATGGAACATTTAGGTCAATAACCTGAGCAGGCAATGACAGTGGTAATTATACCTTAAACCTTTGATTCAGATGGAAAATCATCAGGCGAGCGGACTTTACAGTTGTTTATTCAAGGTATTTTTTTCTCTGTTCATAACAGATGAATAGATATCAATTTAACATTGTTTTGATAACCTTAGTGATATAGCACAAAATAAAACAATACATGTATTTTTGCTTTCCCTGTTCTTATGAGAGTATCAACAATGACAAAGATTTAAATTTGAAATCTAAGTCATCTGTGTGTGTTCTCTCAGCTCCTGTGTCCTCTGTCCTGCTGGTCTCTGAGTGTCTGTCCCAGAGAGAGATGAGGGTGTCCTGCTCCTCTAAGGGAGGGGACAGTCCTCAGTACAGCTGGACTCTGGATGGACGCACACTGACAGATGCTGAGCTCCTTTCTGGAAATAATGAGACTAACAACATCACTCTGAAACAGCACGTGTCAGGACATCTGGTCTGCTCAGTCAGGAACAACGTCAGTAATGTCTCCAAAGAACAGAAGACCTGTCGTGAGTAACAACATTATGAATGAAAGTCAATAATAACAACTATTTCACTTCGAACATCTTTCTCGAATTATTTGTTTTTTTTCTGCCAGGCTTCATTAACTGCACGTCAATCAATGGGACACAGATATTAGGGTGGGTGCCTGTGGACAGTAACGGCCTGTGTATTGAACCAACAACAGAACCTACCCCAGTCACACCAACTTCTGTGGGTAAGGAGACTGGCACAGTGTCAATTACACAATTCAACAATGAAACTGTGACTTCCAACAGTGATGACCAATGGTACATTAGTAAGTGAAAACTAACTAGATCCACTGATGTCACTTTCTCTTTCTTTATGTTCCTTTACAAAAAACATACCTTTGATAACTGAAACATCTGTTTTTATATATTTTACTTTTGAAACAGCCAATTTGCCACTGATCGGTGGTGTTCTCTCAGCACTGGTATTTTTCTTACTTGTGGGTGTGGCAGTCATCTGTGCTCAGAGGAAAAAACAAAACAACAAACCTACAAAACCAAAAGGTACAAAAATTCTTCTGTCACATATAAAATCTGTGGGTATTGTTAACTAATAAGCTTCAACACAAAAGCCGAGAAGACCGCTGTGTGCAAAGGTAACAAAGTCTGTCTTAAAGCATTGCCAAAGAACTCATTTTAAAACCGATTTTTGTATCTGACTCATTTTCTCCAGTCCATGAGCTGAAGCTAACCAGGTCTTTCTGCAGCAGATATCACTGTGAAAATATTTTTTGAAACTCTTATAAAGAAAGCAAAAAGACTTCACAAAAATTAAAACCTTTAAAAGTTAACCATCTGTAATACTCTGCTTGTAACAATCTTCTTGCTACTCTGCAGAGGATGAATGTGACCAAGATGTAACCTATGCTGATGTCAGGATCATGAAGCAACAGGGGAAGCCAGCGGTGCAAACAACAGAGGCGGAGGTGGACGTGGAGTATGGCCAAGTCAAGTTTTCGAGGCGATCTCGGCACACTGAACCAACAGGAGATGATTGTATGTATGCAAAGGTCCAAAGATTCCGGTGATTTAGGTTATTGGTGTGTTCACACAGACTGAAGGTCCATGGAGAGAGGAGATGATGTCAAGATGCCAAAAGGTCTTTTATTTAATTCAATTTCCCATCAGAAAAATAAAAAAACCTTCAGATTTCATACGTATTGATTTTCTTTGCTTTCACTGTGATTCTGTTATATAAAAGAGCATCAGCACACTCAGACTTAGGTGACATCTGGGTTATCATTTCATATGACGCTACACAAGCTGCGGTAGTTTTGAAGCTATTTAACATTTCTAAACATAATTATTCATATTTTTCTATTAGCTTTTATATTTATAGGATGTTGTAATAGTTTTATTCGTAGTTATAATTTATGGATATGTTTTATCTTATTTATTGTCTAAACACTGATAAACTGCATTATTACTATAGTTTTAACAATACATGATGCACTCATTTATCCTAAAACGGCCAATTTCAATCTAATGCCACAAAAAAATTCCATTTAATTAAAGTGTGATTATTAAACACTCTT